CTTGATGCAGATTCGTAGCCAAAGCAGTGTTTAATGCTAGGCAACCTTTAAAGAAAAATAAAATTTTTACAAACAAAATAAAGTGTTAGCACATTCGTCATAACAAATAGATGCACTAAAATAATAAAATATATGATTAGATAGATTAATCCATGATATGGTTAAGAAGGAGCCCTAAACTAGAAACATTTGCAAAATGGATGGACGAGAATAACTTGTTATCTAGAAGGTTCTAACACACAAGACTTGTTGAAATGGAAGCGAATTGATTTAAAGTTTTGTGAAAGGTTGACTCATGTCAAACATCAAAGCTTTAGCTCTAGCATAGTCCATTTCCTTGTATGACTTTGGAATTTTCCAAAAATTACCCCAATCTTTTAGAAGGTTCTGATGAATACTTCATGGCATGATGTCCTTTTCGAGCAGACTCAATATGTGTGCCAAGAATCTGCCCATGTTTCTTTGCTATAATGAGACTAAGCCTTACAAAGGTTGCTTGTGCATCGTAAATAAGAGAAGGTGGGTGGGGAATGATAATCTTTCAAATTTTGTGATCTTGTTAATCATGCTTCTTCTTCATACACATTGTTGGCAGTTTAGAATACCCTTTCTAGCAAGACAGAGTGCAGATTTTTTAAAACTGGCATTACACTCATAAGTGGGAGGTGAAGCTGTGCGAAATGGAGAGTAATCTTTTTCATTGGACAAGTTCTTAAGATCAGCTATCACTTCCTTGACGCCATCAATTTCTTGATCCATTTGTGCTACTTTGCTTCAAGCTTAGCAATCGTATCTTGATATGATTCTGTTTCCTCGCCAGCAACTTCGTCTTCAACTAAGCCAATCGCTACGATTTGGTCAGCCATATCATCATTGAAGTTTTCTTTGCTTTGATGTTCAACTCAAATTAACCTCTTTTGGGGAAAGATATCCCTAGCTACTATGGAGTAGATAAATATTAAAGGCTTAGGGTAGAACGCTTGGGAATGCGTACCTAAGAAACCAACGGGATCAGGTCTTGTAATATTACAATGTTTAATAGAGGCCAAAGATGTGTGATTTTGATATTAGAAAATAATTTGTTGGTATTTGGATATAGACAAGCTCGAGAACAAAATAATTGATAAGGAAATGGTAGTCAATGAAAAGATTCTAAAATCTATTTTTTTAGGTTTGGCAAAACGTAAAGTTGTTGAGGGTTGGAATACGGTATCAATGACTTATGGGATAGTACCTCGACTCACGTGCCAACACTTAGAATTAACGGGTGCGTGAAGATTAATCTCGACGGCCCGAAATAAGACGATGCAGACACTTGAATTGAATAGGTAAAAAATTTTAGAATAATTTGACAATATAAATTGACCAAATAATGGCCTTTTATTGCTCGGTAGAAATGTGTGTTGACACGAAGGTTGAAGTTCTAAGAGATATGAAGGTATGAGACGAATATTGGAGATACAAGATTACGTCGGAATTGGAAAAATTAAGAAAGAATTTAAAATTATATAAGGCACGAGTAGAAATACTTTTTTTAAAAAAAATGAAAAATATGTAACTACATTTTTGAGAAAAGAACACGAATAAAATCAACTCACGAAATTAGATGGGCAAAATATTTTCATATTATAAAAGATTATGCTAATTTTTAAAAAAGTGGGAATGCTATCTTGCTATAGGGAGTAAGATGTTCATTGTTGTATAAAGAAAATTCTTAGGGCTAGTTTAAGGCATGAATATTGAGGAATTTCATGACAAACCGAGCTTGTTGAAGAGTTTGCGGGCAAAACGTCCTACCTTATAAAATAGAAAATCATGCCCAGAGACTAAGAATTGGAGTAGACCTAAGATAAGTTTGGACCTAACTGGTGCTTTAGAGTCGTTAAGAGCGCAGAATGATTGGTGATGATCATTATTATTAATTCAGGAAAATGATATAACATTAAGCAGAAGAAAAAAAATAATACATGAGCAAATAATATATATNGATGTTAGTAAAAATAATAAAATCAAGTAAACAACATAAAAAGTAAGAAAATAAGCAAGCAAAGCATGTGACAGATTCCAAAGCAGATAATAGTGCGTCCTAATACGTGAGGGCGTCTTTATGCCAAAGGTAGGCCTAACGTTTATTTGAAAGATAAATATGCCATTATGTATCATCCTATTGCTATAAATTAATTAAACAATTTTACTTTTTTTAAGAAGAAAATAAAGTACATAAATTGTTTAAACCTCTTCTTTTAATAAATAAAAGATCAAAAGAAAGATATTTTCGTCGTGTCTAAGCTTCTATTAATTGTGTAATTTGAAAGTTTTCATACATATAAAAAGTTGGCCATACTCCTATAATTAGGATTTAACTAATTCAGCGCAAATGGTCCACATAATTGACATGTTCACCCTTCAAATAATGTACATATACGTGATAAGGTGTCACTTGGGATTTAAAACCCACTTCGACATTTAGGTAAGGTCAACTAATGGATTTAATACACCTCAGGTATTAAGCCACCTAAGTTAAAATGATGCATGCTCTTAAATGGGTTTTGGTTTAGCTCTATCTTAGGTTGACTAAGAGTGAATTTTCTAGACCGGTCTGCACCCAAGTGGACAACTTGAGAGTGGAAAGCTCATGACTGTTGACTGCACCGCTGATCGACTTACCCACGAACTTTCCCCTAAAAGGTATTTTGAGTAGTGCACGGCCGCAAACCGCGTAACCGTTAGGTGTGTGCTTTGTGTGAATTTTTCAAAAATGGAGGAAGTTAAATGGGAATGACAATTTGTATAAAGCAATAAGAATAGATGAACAATTCGTAAAATACAGTTTATCATATAACGGCAATTCAAATAAGCATCATAACAATCAAAAAACACACAAATTAATTTTTATTATTAACCTAAGTTTGTTGTGGTTTAGAACCTAGTATCCCCAGCAGAGTCGCCAATCTGTTATACCACATTTTGACACGGATCAAATTAGAGTATAACATATTGGAAAGATCGAGGTTTAATTAATTAAAGAGTTGCCACCTAATTAATTTAAAGGGGAATTAGGACACCAATTTTAGCTAAGTAGTGCTTAAATTTGACTCTATTTTACGGTCTGCTTAACCTTAGAAATTTTAGGTAAGGGTTCTAATTAATCCTATAGGGAAAGTTGTTGAAGCACCCTATATGATCCGTTAATTACGGTTAACCGGCCAAACTTAGATTAATTAATTTTAAAACTAAGTGGTAAATATTTGTAAAGAAAAACGACTGTCAATTAGAAAATACATGTATAATAATGTTATGTTTAAGAAGTGAGTCATAACAAAACTATAAGTTCATAAAATCGGAACACTTGTACAGCTGTAGCATAAAATATTTACTGTATAATAAATCTCCAAGGTAGCTAATCTTGAAAAGCTGTAGTATACTTGGATAATTCCATATTTACCTCAACATGGAAGATTCCAAAACAAGGTCAGTTCCACTTAAGCGGCAACTCTCAAATGTAAAAAAAAAATTCCAGTCTTGAGGTAAATCCAAAGCACACAAATAACTTAACAATCATAAAAACATTAGATAAGAATAGAGTGGCAAAGAGATTAAAAGAAGAAGGACGCCGTAGGCATCCCCAAGCGTTTCGCTTGTTTCTTGCTATCCGGCACATTCTAAGGAAAATGAGTTGTGTTGACTCCAAACGTGGATAAAGAAAATCTCGCATTAAGACTCCATATGCTCCAAAGTATACATGTAAAAGAAGAGAGAAATAAACAATTAGCAAAATAACTTAAGAGTTTAATTAACATATATATGCAAGGATAAGAAGGATTACTAAGTGGAACTTGATTTTTAACAATATATCAAGATCAAGATATGCAAAGAGGTCGTAGTGTCAGATTATTTTATGAAATTCCAGCCATATTTCTTATCATCAAACAAACACACAACAATCTGGACAAAATGCCGGAGATAAATACTTCCAGCTATTTAGACTAGTATCAAACTCTTAAGGGTAATGACTGAAATATAAACTTCCAATGATAATCACATAGCAACATGGACATATTTTATCAAGACATAAATGTCATCTTAATAAAGTTCGTCTACACTTTCAAATCCATTTACTAACCGGCACAAAGAAATAGAGCATAGGATTTCTATAGCCATGTTTCCTAAAGAAAAGAATTTTGGATAACTAATAACAATAAGTTCAAAACTTCGGCGAAAGCATATCAAGTCTTCGCTTAACGGTATGCATTTAGATAAATCTATTTTTAAACAAGTTGTTCGGAATCATAAGCACGATGTTTAGGCGAAAAGGTGCTAAATCACAATAGAAAATTAATCTTTTGCAAGGCAACTAGCTCATGGAAAATATCCTTCTTAAAATCATGGCATCTAATAGAAAAGTATTCAAAAGGAGATAGGTATTTTCTGTTGGACTGGAAATCAACAACCTGGCCCCTAAATCAAGAGCTGGTCGACATAGAGCAGCTGCAATCGAAGAAGAAGATGAAGAAGAGATGAAAGCAGAAGTGTCTCAAATGACCTATAGAATGGAAGACCAGCACATATAATTCAGAGGCTATCGGGCTCAAACAAGAAACTGGGCCAATATAACATATTGGTCCAAATAAACAAAATACTGAAAGCCCAAATATGTCATAAGGTCTAGCCCAATTTATTAACACATCCAATCCATTTTTGTAGCATAGTGGATACAGCTGGAAGGCACTTGTTCCTTCCAGAACATCAATATCCAAATGCAATTATAGATGCACATGTCATAGTGCAAACAATGAGTAGGATAACATATTAAAGAATGGCACACTTGTACTTAGTATAGCTGTAATTGTCCATAGTCATCATTCCTATTTTTTAGGTGTATAAATTTGCATTCTGTACAGCATATGTGGGATAATAAGAAAAAGAAATTTTCCTAAATCTCTACTTGGTATCAGAGCAGTAGATAACTGAAGCTTTTTTTTTCTTTCTCTTTTATTGAAATGGCACCAAACTCCATAGATGACTCCTCAAATATTTCTGCAGCTAGAACAATTAACCAACCAGCTGCTATCATCATCGATTCCACTCACCTCAATTACCTTCATTCATCTGATTCATCAAGAATGGTTCTTGTCAACTCAGTTTTTGATGGGAAAGGATATGGAGGATGGTGTAGAGCCATAATTATTGCATTTTCTGCCAAGAACAAACTTGGTTTCATCGATGGAACATTTTATCAACCAGATGCGACTTCCACTGATTTCAAGCATTGGAATCGCTGCAATGATATGGTTATATCATGGATTTTGAACTCTCTATCTAAGGACATAGCTGAAAGTGTCCTTTATTCTAAAACTGCAAATGAGATTTGGAAAGAACTTGAAGTTAGATTTGGGCAATGTAATGGAGCTCAACTTTATCAGTTACAAAAGGAGTTGAGTGATATAGTACAGGGAACCTCTGATATAGCAGGTTACTATACATAGGTGAAAAGGATTTGGGATGAGTTAGATACCTTGAATACTTGTGTGCATTGTACATATGAATGCAACTGTAGAGGAAAATCAAAGACTTTCAAATCCTTTCAAGATGGTGTGAGCACGTGATTTTTGCCCTATCTGAATTATTCCAACAAATTCAAAACAAAATAATTTCTTTCAGTGTCTGCAATTTTGTTGGATTTCGTGGCATTTTCTGTTAATTATTTGCATTTGTCTGTGCACGTTTATTTTATTTAATTCATGAAAAATACAAAAAATATGTTGCATCTGCATTTAGGATTTAATTTCAATATTTTTAGATTAATTAGCAAATTAATTTGTTTTATAAAAAATAAAAATCACAAAAATAATTCATTGTGCATTTTTACTTTTTAATTTTGAATTGTATAATTTTGCTTTAAATTTAGGATTTAATTAATTATTGTAAATACCATGTTGAGTGATTAATCTAATTGGGTAGGTTAATTTAGTTTAAAAATTATTATTAATTAATTTAGGTTTTATTTGAATTTTGGAAAAAGAAAAGAATTGTGAAATTGAAAAAGGAAAAAGAAAGAATGAAAAAAATCCAAATCTGGGCTCAAACCCAATTTAATTGTCCCAGCCCAAATGAAAATTACCCAATACCCGGCCCAAACCACCCTAACCCGGTCCGNGGTCCAGAAGCCCAGGTCCTTTAGTATTTAAATGTCCAAACCTGCCCCCACCCCTCACTCATCTCCCTCACAACCCGCCCCTGCCAAACCCTAACGACGCCGCCCCTAAATCCCCCCACCGTCGGAGGCGGCGCCACCACAAACCGACCTCAGATTAACACCAAATACCCTCCTCAACTCCCTCAGTCCAAATCTACAAGCACCTTCCATCGAACAAGCCCAGAACGTCTCGAATCTTGATTTGAAAGAAAACCCTAGCGCCTCCCTGTGTTCTCCGATGGCGGCGGCGCCTCGGTTCGACCCCAAAATCACACCCCTGAACCCCCGTCTCTCCCTCACCCTAAATCCCCACTTAGATTCCCTTGAATCACCCTAGAACTCTCCGAATGTTAAATCTGAGTTCGAACCCTAAAAATTCCGTCAAAGTTGTGGCATGTATGACCTTAAGCCTCCGATTTGCTCGAGTTTGAAGTCTGATTCAACATGAATTGATGCTGCTCATTTGTTCTTGACAATGAACAAGTGATTAGTGTCAGTTCCGCTGAAATCAAGGTGTCCGACGCCACTTCAGGTTTGCTAGGTTAAGTTTCCTTCCCTTCTATCCGAGTTTACCTTCTGTTCCTCTTCTTTTCTTCTAACTTTTTTTATGTTTTTTACCTTGACTGAGATTTGAACAAAGTTCTAAACCTAGGTTCTCTTAAGATTGATTTTGCGTTCGTATCTGTGTCATTGGCTTTTCAACTTTCTTTTTGAAGTTTATGGTCTGGTTAATTTTTTATTAGTGCCACGCTCAAATTTCTCATTTTTGTCTTTGTTTTGGTCACTGAGCTTAATTAGTTAGCTTAATTAGTTCCTCGTTTGTTTGTGATTGTTAATTAGTTGATTTGTTTGGTTTTTAATTTTTCTGAGTTCGTTTGGGTTTCGTCTTTGGGCTCTGAGGTCAGTCTAAGATCTCATGTTAAAGGCATTCTGTTTGGCCTGGTCTTGGAGGCCCCTTCGGAAATAAGGAGTATGTCTCGTTGTTTTCGTTTGTCCTGGGCCTCTTCTTGAGCCTAAAGGTTTATTTGTTGTTTATGTTAATCTAATGCTCCTCCCCCTTTCCCTAATAGTTGCATACCTCGGCCTTAAATCGCGTTAGTTCAATTATTTATGGTAATTAATTTGAGGCAAGCCATAATTAGACACTTAGTAACAAATGGCTCTTGTGTTAATTTCATAATATAGATGTAAAATAACAAATGTTCGTAGAGAAACCTTTAGGACCGTTTAAAAATACTATCATGGTTGTGGACACGTTCGCGTGACATAATTACGGTTTCTAAAAATAAAATTGGAATATGCGTTCGCGCAACTTCAAACAATTTCCTTTAACAATAGAAATAGTTGCTAATAGGCCTCTAGTCAATTTTACGAGTTTTGAAGCATGCCATCTACAATTTAGTTATTCATGGCCCTCATGTTAATAATCTAGATAAAAAATATGATAAATGTTGGTATTTTGCTCTAGGCACATTTAACACACTATCGTGATTGTGTATACGTCCGCGTAACTTCGGCCAAACTTTTGGCAATAATAAAGCATTATTAATTATGGACACGGTCGCGTGACATGATTTTTTGACGCGCCAAACAAATGGGTACACGTACGTGTGACCCGTTTCAAGATTTTTTTTATTTAAAAGCGGTTAAGAGGTGAAAGCACATAGGTTCCAAAATGAGAAAATAAACAATTTCGCAAGCCAAGTATAATCAAAAGCAACCGTACTAGAACCACGGAACTCGGGAATGTCTAATACATTCTTCCGGGTTAACAGAATTCCTTACCCGGATTTCTGTGTTCGCGGACCATAAATAAGAGTCAACTTCCTCGATTTGGGATTTCAACCGGTGACTTGGGACACCCTAAATTATCCCAAGTGGCGACTCTGATTTTTAATAAATAAACAATCCCGTTTCGATTGTTCTTTAATTGGAAAAACTCCCTTATATTTATACCCTTTACGAGTGTATGTAAAAAGGAGTTGTGGCAGATGGCAGGCTCATCCAATTCCTCATGGGACTTAATGATATCTATTCAGCTGTAAGGAGTAACATTCTAATGCTTACCCCTCTGCCTAGTGTCAATCAAGCCTACTCTCTTTTCATTCAAGATGAGAAACAAAGGGAAATTCATGTTGCACAACACCCTGTTGAAACTGCTTTTCTGGAAGGAAATCAGCAAACCTATTTTCAAAAGTATGCTAATAGGGAAGGAAAATTCAAAGCAAACCTTGAAGGAAAGAAGAGTAACCTGATGTGCAACTATTGCAAGAAACCTGGTCATTCCATTGATAAATGCTATAGAATCATTGGTTTTCCCTCCACTTTGAAGTTCACCAAATCCAGAAAATATCATGGAGGAACTCACAGCAATGCAGCAATCATGCATGAAGAAAACACATCTTTGTCAGCAAACACAATGGTAGAAAATACAGCAGGTAAAGTCATAACTCAAGAACAGTTCAGTTAGCTTTATCAACTTCTTCAACAAGGTACAACAGGGTGAGCAGAGTTCTGATGCAAATTCTAGTGCCAACTATGCTGGTAAAACCATCAATGCCCCTAATCTATATTGTCTTTCCTGTTTTCCTTACATGAATTCTACCTCCTGGATAATAGATTCAGGAGCTTCAAAACATATGACTTTGATCTTTCCATTTTATTTAATATAAAGCCTCTAACCAAATCTCTATACGTCAATCTGCCGAATTCATATAAGGTTAAGGTCAGTCAAGTTGGTAGTGTCCATGTTCTGCCAGATTTAATCCTAAATAATGTGCTGTATGTTCCAGATTTCAAGTTTAATCTAATTTCAGTTCACAAACTCACTAAACAACTCATGTGTACCTTGATTTTCTCATCTTTTCGTACATTCTTGCAGAGGTAGTTGGTGAAGTGAAGGAAGGTCTATATCTACTTAGTCCAGTTTCTCTAAGTTCCGGACTAGTTCATGGAAATCAATCATTTTTTCAGTCTTTTTTTTCTTGCAACAACTTTAAGAATCACATTGTGTCTCATTCAGTTTCTTGTTCAGCTAGAATCAACTCTAATGTAAGCCTATGGAACAAAAGATTGGGGCACATGCCCATATCTAGCATGCAAAATCTATCAAATTTTCATTTTCCTTCTCTTACCACATTTAATCATTCTTGTGATGTATGTTCTCAAGCTAGGCAGGCAAAGTTGTCTTTTCATTCAAGTCATATAAATTCAAATTCCATTTTTCAACTAATTCATGTTGATACTAGCTTGAGAATTTGTATGCTAGAACAAAAAGTAATACTTTTTCAGTTTTAAAATCTTTTCTAATAATGGTAGGAAGACAGTTTTCCACAAAAATTAAAATCATTCGTTCTGATAATGTTTTGGAATTAGGATCAGGATCTATTCTTTCAAAAAAAAATCCTCTAATGGAATTGTTCATCAAACCTCTTGTGTTTCCACACCACAACAAAATGGAGTGGTTGAGCGAAAACACAAACATCTTTTAGAGACATGCAGGGCTCTATTATTTCAATCTAATCTCCCCACCATGTATTGGGGTGATTGTTTGTTAACTGCTACTTTTCTAATAAATCGATTTCCCTCTAGAGTTCTTAATTTCAAACACCTTTAGAAATTCTTTTTGGAAAAGTTCCATCTTATGATTTTCTCAAATGTTTTGGTTGTCTAGGTTATGCATCTACTTTACCTCATCACAAAGCAAAACTTGAATCTAGATCTGTAAAGTGTATTTTTATAGGTTATTCTTTTGGAAAGAAAGGCTACAAATTGTTGGATCTTCAATCTAAAGCTATTTTTATTTCACGAGATGTTATTTTTTATGAGGACATATTTCCATTATTGTCTCCTTCATCTGAACAACCAATTTTTCCTAAAGAAGTTTCTACTATTCAAGACCCGAATCACTCTTTCTCTCCGTCTAATATCCATTTATCCACAGAGTCAGATTTTAACTCCCCTATACAACCTTCCATAACTTCACCTCACAACACTCCTACCTCATCTCCTATCTCCAAGGGTATTTCCTCTCCATCTTCCCTACCCCTTCCACTAAACTAAGGCGGTCTACTAGGGACCACAATCCACCATCATATCTGGCAGATTATGTGTGCAATGTTGTGTACTTGACTGATCTAACCAAATTTTGTCTTGCAGCACCAATCTCACCTACTACTATGAATTTCACGGATGTCTCTCCTACAAACCAGTCTTTTTTAACTCTATCTCTCACATCACTACAATCGCAGAAGAAGATGAAGAAGAGATGAAAGCAGAAGTGTCTCAAAT